GTTATAGATTCTACATTATTCTTAAGGGTTGCATAGTATTCCATTGTGTGTATGTACCATAGTTTGGTTATCCATTCCTCAGTTGATGGACTCCTAGGTTGTTTCCATCTTTTGGCTATTGTAAACAGTGCTGTGATGAACATGGGTGTGCATATGTCTGTTCTTGTCAAGAGCTGTGATTTGAATAAGAATTTTTCTAAGGTGATTATAGTAAGTTACCAGAATTTTCTTTAGAAATTACAGGGTAGGTTTTGTTTTTTGCATATTTTCCTGCTGAATGAAAGGGTCACTGTCTCAGGTCTCTGGGGTATGAGTTATGATATAATTTCTTCTGGGTGGTACAGGGAATGTCATTGTGCTCTGGGGACCCTCCCTTTTGCCACCAGCAATAGTGAATATATAAAAATATTACAAATACTATTTTGCCTCTGTGGAGACAAAAGGGACTTTCAAATGTGATTATTATATAACTATAGTTAGAAATAAAACAATTATCCTTTTCTTTTTTTCTAATAATTTTAGGGAAATTGTGGTAAAGAGAAAGTATTGTTCTTAAGACTTTACTTGCTTCAAGGTATCCGAAACTATCACAGTGGAAATGGTGAAGAGGCTTGCGAGTATCTCAACAAGGTAAGAAAATGAACACTCCAAAGTTGTTAACATTTCACCTGCTTTTTATTTCCAATTCCCAGAAGTAAGCATATTATAAACTTACTAATTAATAGTTTGTGACTTATGAGAAACATGTATCTCTCTTCCCGCACATTATACTATAAACATAAAAGGTACAGGAAAGATGCTGTAATAAAGAAAGCTGAAAATTTAGTACTTTCATTGGATAAAAGTTACTTCTCTCTCCTCTAACAGTAGAGAGGTGAGCAGGCCACTCTGCAGAGGGGGGAGAGAGTATCCAGGGTGACCTCTTCAAAGGCCTTCTGTCTTCTGTTCACATTCCATGGGCTTTACCATCTCATCCAACTGTGAGGGTGTGAGGGCTAGACAGGCAGGTGCACAGGTCAAGTTCCAGGGGTTTTAATACAATACAGAAGGGAATCATGGATACCAGTCCGTTGTACAACACCCAGCCTATTTTCTCATAGTATGTTATGTATATTATGTGAGCACAGATAGTGTTGCCTGTCTCCATTTGTACTGTTGCTGTTATGTGCTGTTGAGGCAGACCTGATTCATAGTGACCCTTCCTTGGGTTTCCGAGGTGGTATCACTACAGAAGTAGATTGTCCAACCTTCCTTCCAAGGAGTGACTGGTGGGTTTGAACCACCAGCCTTCTGGTTAGCAGTCAAGTGCCTTAGGCACTATGCTACCAGAGCTCCATTTGTACTAGTTAATGTTATTGTTATGGTTGTTAGGTGCCTTCAAGTTGGTTTTGACTCATAGCAGTCCTGTGTACAAAAGAACAAAACACTGCCCAGTCCTGTCCCATCCTTATAATTGTTGCTATACTTGAGCCCATTGTCACAGCCACTTTGTCATTCTATCTTGCTGAGAATTTTTCCTTTTTGCTGACCCTCTACTTTACCTAGCATAAATCCTTCTCCAGGGATTGGTCCCTCCTGATAATATGACCAAAGTACCAGAGATGAAGCCTGTCTGTTCTCACTTCTAAGGAGCATTCCATCTGTACTTCCTCTGAGATAGATTTGTTCATTCTTCTAGCAGTCCATGGTATATTCAGTATCCTTTGCCAACACAATTCAAATGCATCAATTCTTCTGCAGTCTTCCTTATTCATTGTCCAGCTTTCACATGCATATGAGGCTACTGAAAAGACAGTGGCTTGGGTCAGGTGTACTTTAGTCTTTAAAGTGACATGTTTGCCCTGTAACACTTGAAAGAGGCCTTTTGCAGCAGATTTGCCCAATACATCATTTGATTTCTTTTCTTGGGCGTTGATTTTGACTCCAAGTAAAATGAAATCCTTGACAACTTCAGTCTTCTCCATTTGTCATGATGTTCCTTATTGTTCCAGTTGTCAGGATTTTTGTTTTCTTTATTGTTGAGGTGTGATCCAACTGATCTTCTTCACTTTCAGCAAGCAAGGTTGTGTCATTGCATATGGCAGGTTGTTTTTCCAGCCCTGATGCTACATTCTTCATATACTCCAGCTTCTTGGATCATTTGTTTAGCATACAGATTGAATAACTATGGTGAGGATACAACTCTGGCACACATACTAACTGCTTTTAAACCACACAGTGTCTCCTTGTTCTGTTCAGATGACTGCTTCTGGACTATGTATAGATTCCTCATGAGCACAATTAAGTATTCTGGAATTCCTATTCTTCACAGTGTTACTCATAGTTTGTTATGATCCACATAGTTGAATGCCATTATGTAATCAATAAATCACAGGAAAACATCCTTCTTGTACCATTTGCTTTCAGCCAAAATCCATCTGACATCAGCATTGATATCCCTCATTCCATGTCCTCTTCTGAATACAGCTGGAATTTCTGGTAGTTCCCTGACTATATATACTGCTGCAACCATTTTTAAATTATTTTCTGCACAATTTTACTTGCATGTGATATTGATGTTTTTTGATAATTTCTGCTTCTTTTGGATCACCTTTCTTTGGAATGGGCACAAATAAGGATCTCTTCCAGTCAGTTGACCAGGTAGCTAAATTTTGTAGCATAAATGAGTGAGTGCTTCCATTGTTGCATCCATTTGTTGAAACATCTCAGTAGATACTCAGTCAATTCCAGGAGTCTTGTTTTTTGCCAATTCCTTTAGTGCAGCTTGGACTTTTTCCTTCAATACCATCAGTTCTTGGTCCTATGCTACCTCTTAAAATGGCTGAACATCAACCAGTTCTTTTTGGTATGGTGACTTTGTGTATTCCTTCCATCTTCTTTTGATGCTTCCTGTATTGTTCAATATTTTGTCCATATAACCCTTTGACATTTCAACTTGAGGCTTGAAATTTTTCTCAGTTTTTTTTGCTTGAGAAATGCAGGGTATGTTCTTTTTTTGATTTTCTAACTCTAGCTCTTCGCACATTATGATACTTTACTTTTGTCTTCTCGAGCTGCCCTTGAAATCTTCTATTCAGCTGTTTTACTTCATTTCTTCTATTCGTTTTAGCTACTCTTCCCTCCAGAGAATGTTTCAGAGTCTCTTCTGACATCCATGGTCTTTTCTTTCTTTCCTGTGTTTTTAATGACTTTTTGCTTTCTTCATGTATGATGTCCTTAATGCCATCCCTTAACACTTCTGGTCTTCAGTCATTGATTCAATGTGTCAAATCTTCCAATAGTCTCTCAATTCAGGTGGAAATAATCAAGATTGTATTTTGTCTCTCATATACTTCTTTAATTTTCAGCTTCAACTTAAACTTGTGTATGAACAGCTGATGGTCTGTTCCACAACCATCCCCTGGCCTTGTTCTGACTGATGGTGTTGAGCTTCTACATCATCTCTTTCCAAAGATGTAGTCAATTTGATTCCTGTGTATTCCATTCTGGTGCAGTCTACTTGCATAGTCACTGTTAATGTTGTTGAAAAAAAAAAGATAACTTCCAATGAATAAATTATTGGTCTTGCAAAGTTCTATCATGAGATCTGTGGCATCATTCCTGTCACCAAGGCCATATTTTCTAATTACTGATGCTGCTTCTTTGTTTCCAACTTTCACATTCCAATCACCAGCAATTATCAATACATGTTGATTGCATGTTTGCTAAATTTCAGACTGCAGAAGTTAATAAAAATCTTCAATTTCTTCATCTTGTGCCTTAGTAGTTGTGTGTAAGTCTGAATAATAGTTGTATTAATTGGTCTTCCTTGTAGGTATATGGATATTATTCTATCACTGACAGCATTGCACTTCAGGATAGATCTTGAAATTCCTCTTCAATTTGTCATTCCCTGCATAGTCTACCGCATTATTGTCCAATTCAAAATGGCCAATACCAGTTCATTTCAGCCCACTGTGACTAGGCTATCAATCTTTTTTTTTTTTTTTAAACTGTGATTTGGGTGAAAATTTACAGAGCAAATACACTTTCCATACAGAAGTTCACATACACTTTATCTCATGACATTGACCACAATTTAGCACAATGCAACATTTCCCCTCCCACTTCCTCCTGATAGTTACCTCTTCCCTGTGTCCATCTCTCCATGCACTCCTACCCTCTGAGCTGTCTCCCTGTGCCTGAGCAGCCCTTCTTTCTCTCATGCTTATTCTCTCCAAGGAGTATATCTCCCTCAGGTAAATGTTCAACTCATATGCCTGTCTTCTGTTTGGCTGGAAGCCACAGGTGTGGGTTCAGTTCCAGACCTGAAGGGCAGCTAGGGGCCATAGTCTCAGTGGTTCCACCAGGCTCCCTCAGGCCAGCAAACCTGTTTCCCGCTTTTTTTTTTTTCCCCCAGATGATTTTGAGTTTTGTTCCACATTGTTCTCCCTGTCTATCCAGGATCTCCTACGAAGATCCTCTTCCAACTGGTTGACAATAGTAGCCGAGCACCATCTATTTCTTCTGGTCTCATAGTCATATAGGCTGCAGATTGGATGGTGTACCAGTCGCTAGGGCTAATTGTTTACATGAATTTTTGGTTTTCTTCATTCTTCTTTGCTCTGGACGAGACCCATCGTTGCATCTAGATGGCAGCTTGCAAGCTTTTAATATCCCAGTCGCTACTTGCCACAGTAGGAGGTAGAACAATGTTTTGTGTAGTATGTTATGCCAATTGAGGTTGATGTCCTCTGTGACTATGGTCCCGAGCCCACGGGTTCAACTACTCGGTCCCTCTGGGTAGCTGGCTGTGACCAAGCAGTGACTACAGCCTTGCCCCTTGTCAGCCCCATTATACACCTGGGAATTCAGATCATACATATAAAGTTATTGGACCACTTTCTGCCAAACCTATACATGTTCTTGGGTACACTCTCCACGCCATATACATACCTAATATTTCAGCGTGTCCACCCATCTATCCACCCATATACCCGTGTGTGCCTTCACTGACTATGCAGTACTATATGCACAAAAGAGTTCATCTTTGTTGTCTGTATTTCCCACGTACCTCTCTATGTCTTTCTCTTCCTCGATGCCACTATATTGACCACTCACCATTTGGTACATTGCCTTTTTCTTCACCCAAGTCAAAGCTTATCTCTATCTATCTAACAGTATTCCCTCCCCTCCCCTCCCACCCTGGTAACCAACAAAGAAAATGGTCTTCCATAGATAAATGTTTCCTTGACTATTGCAATCACGGACTAATACAATATTTGTCCTTTTGTGATTGACTTATTTCACTCAGCATAATGTCCTCCAAGTTCATCCACATTATGCGGTGTTTTGCAGATTCT